ACTATGTAAATGCTTATTCTTATTTTTAAAATATTTTTCAACTTTTTAATCTTTTTTCTTCATAATCTGGAGGGACTCAAAGTTTAACATATCAACACTTGATGGAAAATACCTGTTCCATGTTATGTCTACAATGTTTGATATTCAGACAGATAGTGAGGTTAAGCTCAACTGCCTATGTTATAAGGTAATAATATCATTAAGCTTCTCTTCTGGAAGGTTGACAACTTAATTTTTCAGCCAAACATTAAAGAAAATGAAAGGCTACAAAGACAGCCAACATTTTGGCCCTAGTCTTTCAAGGTCAGTAAAGGCTCAAGAAATAGGAGTTAACATCCTGTAACTCAGTGGTGTCCCAGATTTTCTGATCAAGGAGATTATGGAGTCACAGAGGAAAGTGATCAATGATGTAAAGTGTGCCTAAGGATTTCTCTCAAGCTTTCACTGAGAACAAATTGGTCAAGCAATGGCCGTGACTCGTCCACATGGCTGACACTGACAAAGGATCTACAAACTGAGGTACAGGGTTTCAGGATAAATCCTAAGGGGACTTGACTGACCTTATCAGATACAAAAGTTACATTTCTTGTTATATAGGTCTTGTTCTTTCTTGGTCTAACCATCTATCAGAAAAGTATGAAAATGAAGTATAAAAAGTAAAGCCATATTAATATGATGAGTTGTAAAAGCTCAAGTCAACAACTTCGGACATTGACAGTCCTGTGGAAAATCCTCTACTATTATGAACTACTGGACTTTTTTGGAATATTTTGCTAAATTCACATACTTACAATATTTAAATGACAATGGAATGCCCTTCTCTGACAAAGCTAACCAAAAAAGGGGGATAGAAATGAGTGAACATTTTGTATTTGTATACTAAAAATAGGATAGATATACAGCTGCATTCTATTAATTCAATGAATAGAGAGGTTGTTCTAATAGTGTTTGAGACAGGAGATCATATCTGCACCTTGTACAATGAATAACCACTAAGACAACAATATGCAATGTATTCATTATTGAAAATGTGCTGGTAATAGGTTGTTACCTGTCTCATTGCTGTTTGTTTCTCAATAAAAATATTGAAAAAAGAAAAAGATCCAGTGAAAATATAGTGATTGAAGCTACCCAAAACAACTCATTCATGTGAAGAAAAAACTAATTAGTTCCAAGATTTTAATTCTCCCATTAAGTTATAAATATCATCATTTATTTTTACAAATGTGCAAGTGTACCTGTCATCTTCAGATACTTTCCCCATAGTAACGCAAAGTGAGAAAAAGTCAGCCAAATTAGCTTGCTTATATATGAAGAAGAAACTATGATTTTTCTTAAGTTTAAATTGTATTTTAATTGATTATCTTGAACTAAGTAAAATAAATCTGTGCTGGAAGGTTTTTCAGTATAGAGATACACAGGAGAATTGTTCTACCCAGTAAGACATCTAAAGTGGCTTATTTTCTCATCTCCACAAGAAAGTCAAGATCTTTACATGACTGGATCCAAAATTATTTTCTGAAGTCACAGTCATACTCCAGCATGTTCTAGTGCTGAATTTTAAAGTTTGAGTAAATAAAGCATTGCTTAAAATGCACTATTGCCCTTACTAGAGCCATTCAAAGAGCTCTGCCTACTTGGCTGGGACAGCAACCAGCCAAAGGCAGAATGTGATTTAGTCCACACGTGGGGCAACTGTTTATTTCTCAAATTCCTAGATGAGTAAGCATTCATTATAAACTGTGAAAGTTTCCTTATAAAACAAAAGCCTGGATTTTTCATCCAAATGGTCTAAGAAAATTGTGGCATTAGTACTTTATAGATCACTTTTTGCATCTACTGTCTTGTAAAGAAATTTCAGGAAACAGTGATTTATTATTGTTTGTATTGACTTTAGTTTTTAAATCACTTGGAGAGACATGAAGTATAGTTTAGTTCAACCTTGAAATAGATTTCGATATAGTTTATTTCCATAAGTCCAGTAGATGTTTTTTGATTGACATCTGGTTACCAATTCTAGCAGGTAATTACACAATCTAAACTCACTAATTCATTTTTTGCTAAGTTAAAACATTCTATTATCTACATGTGAAGTTTTCAAACACTGAGGATTGTCTTAATATTTAAATCCATAGCCTTCATATTTAATTAAAGAATTGATAGAATCTCATCTATCCTCTCTAAACTATTAACTGCTTTATATTTAATCTTTTATCAAATTAAATCAGTGATCTGAATGGCTAAGTTTATCTTAGAGAAAAGACTATGAAATTAATTCAAAATAAAGCTATATATACAGAGATTTTTCTAAATAAAACATTTGATGATGATAGAAGAAGAAAAAGAAAGAAGGAGGAGGAGGAGAACAGGGAGAGAAGGAAAAGATAGGAGAGGAGGAAGAGGAGGAGGTAGATATCTTGCCAATGTTCTATTAAGTCGAACTTTCAGTTTTCAATTTTCCCATATCTTGGTCCAGCCTGAAAATTTTTTCTTGATCTTTCCATGCAGAGAACAAAGATTGGCTCATTTTTCTGTATTTAGTTTTGTCACAACCTTCAACTTTCATAAAATTATATTAATCCTACCACCAGTTTGCCTGCACATTAACACAAATGTTTTGCATTTTATCTCAAAAGAATAGTCAAAGTTTAATTTTTTAAGCTACTTCTACAAGCTAGTTGAGAAAAATGTTAACTGCGAGAAACCATTTCCACTACAGATTGTCCAGAATATAAACAGTTTGTGATTTCCTCTGGAACAACAGAAATGTGAGCATAACTATGCTACCGTGTCTTGTTTCTAAAAAGTTTTGTTTTGGCCTTGCAATAAACACACTGCATTATTGTCTAGGGGGATGTTATGTGATATATTTTCTCTTTATTAAAAATTCACAGAAAATATTACTTTTTAGTTTCACTTTGTTTCTCTTGGAAATCATGTAGTTTTTCTCATGTGCCTGGAATCATGATATTCAGTTATGTCTTGATGTGCTACATAATATAGCCATCAACCCATCTGGTACAAATGGATGGGCTTTCCTGGTATGAGTTTTGTTCATGTGTGTTGCATTTTCTTCCATCTCTCCTTTTTGATTCTCAGTTCTCTTTTATTCCCCACTTCACTCAATGCCTCTTATCTGTGTATCCAATAAGCTATATTAGCTTGCTCTGGAGTACCATGAGGCAATAAAAGTGAATTGATCGACCTACCACTTTTGCTGTATTGGGTAATTCTTAGTAAATGTGCACCCAACGTTAAAAAGCATCAGTGTGCTAAAGAGCTATAGCACAGAGCCTCTGTGATGGCTGTTAAAAGTTGCAATGAAGGGGCCAGAGAGATGGCTCAGTGGAAAAAGTGCTTCCCTGGCAAGCGCAAGGGTCTGAGTTCAATCCCCGGTTCCACAAAAAAAAAGAAAAAGAAAAGTTATAATGACGTAGTACAAATCATTTATAACTCTCTAGTGCAGAAAGAAAAATGACATTTATTTTATCAAAAACTACATTTGCAATACAGGGTTTAACATTTTGATGCCTAAAGGATATTGAAGGTACTTATTATTAAGATATGTTGTCAGTTTATTTGTATTTTAACACATTTCCTGATAGACTGTGTCTGTGAAAATACACTTACAAATGAAAAGTAGGTGAAAATACACCTACTTTTTAAGCTAGTGTTTTAGGATAAAAATTTGAACCTTTTTCTCACTAAAAGGTCAATGTTTATCTGAAAAAGATTGTTGATTTACAGAAAAAGTTCAAAAAGTATATTTTAGTTCTCTTTTATCTGCTTGTGTGATTTCTTACTCCAGGGTTTGAGGCTTTCTAAAACTATTTCCACAGCATGTCCTTCATCTTTATCGCTTTGAACTCTGTTTATGCATCTCATCCAAGTTGTGTTTCCTCCATGACCCTGTATTCCTGTATCTTAGATTATCTGGCCTTGAATTTCCTTTGAAGGGTAAAACAAGATAATTTATTTTCTCAAAAAAAATCAAAATAACTCTACCACATGCTTATGTTGTTGGAGCCAATATGTCAATGATGGTAAGAGGTTTTTCTCCTAAATAAATATAACAATTGAAATCTGAGCATTGTGTACTGATTTATAAAAGACCATATTGGTAGACAGCTATTTGATGCTATAGAAATTCTGGATATGTTCTGAATATTAGCCTATTCCGATTAAAAACTGTTGTCAATACTTTCTCTCACTTATGGGTTTTTAGTCTTTTAATAGTATTTTTTTTGTAACAGATGTCTTTTTTCTGTCTTTTTCATTTATTATTATTATTATTATTATTATTATTTACTGTATTTAATACAGGGTCTCACTACACGGATCAGACTTGCAGTGATCCTCCTGTTTTCAGCCTCCCAAGTACTGGGATTACAGGCATGCACCACCACGCCCAGTCTCAGTTGCCATCTCAGTATGCCCCATGGTCAGAGCCTGCACGGCACACCAGCGATTGAACCCCAGTCCCTGAATCTGCCTAAGCAGGCGCTTTAATCCACTGAGCTATTGGGTCAGCCCTGTCTTTTATTTTGGAATAATTTTAGACTTAATGGTAAAATTTCACAGAGAGTATAAACAGTACTATTGCAAAACGAGTGCGGAGAATTCACATTTATTCTTTAGCCAACAGTCCCTTATTATATAACTATGGTAAAATTATCAAAATCAGATAATTTAGTTAAATAAACCATAGTCTTTACTCAGATTTCACAAACTTTCCTCTCAATCTTTTTTCCACACCAAACCCAATCCAGGGTCCCACACTGGAGTTAGTTTTTATGTTCCTATAGTCTGTTCCAATCTGTCACAGCTCTTCAGACTTTCCTTGTCTTTTTAGGACTTGACAATTTTAACGAGAACTGGTCAGTTATTGTGTCAAATGTTCCTCCACTTAGGTTTAGATGAGATGTGGTCATGCTTTTCTTAGCAATATACCCACCAAAATGCTGATGTGTCTTTATCTAGTGCATTTATCATTGGTTACCATGACCATACTTTTTATTTTAAAGTAGTTATGTGTATCTTTCTAGCCATTTCAGTTAACATTTTTTAACCTCTTTATTAGTCTTTCTTTAGCTCATTTCTGATTGGTTTTACCTTTAGATTTAGATTTAGATTTAAATTTAGATTTAGAATTTGCTTGGCTATTTGGTTGCTTTGTTTGTCTATGGTTTACAAGGTATAACCAAATATATAGTGCATCTTTAAATTTTAAAAATTAATACAGCAGATTCAATATAGTAAAATATTCTTAGAGTAAAAGACATGACAGCATCGACCTCCTTCAAAGTAATCTCCCTTATTTTGAGCACGCGTAGCCCATTGTCCTTGGCAGTTTCTGAAGCAGTTCTGGAAGTCCTCTTTCCTGCGATTGTTTAGGAGCTGTGATGAAAAGACATGATGAGTGCTAAGGCTGACTACTATTCAATGAAAATGAGCAAGGCTCAGAGAAACAACATTTTTCTCTTCTTTCTTTCTTTCTTTTTTTTTTTTTTGTTTTTCCTTTCCATTGAACAAATCCTTTCCTTTCAAAGTATCCTTTGTACCTTTCAGATTCAGACTCCCACTACCTGTCCTTTCTAGAAAAAAAAATGGAATAAGTTTTTTTTTTTTTTTTTTTCCTTTCTCTAGCAGTTTCTTCTCCTTTCAAAATATCTTTCACTTTTGGATTTTATTTACTCTTTCAGTGTCTTACACTAGGGAGACAATATGATGTTTACATACATGGGGTTGATTAATTTCACTTTTTTTATTTTAATGTATTTAGTACAGGGTGTACTGGGTCTCACTACATAGGTTTGACTCATAGTGATTCTCCTGTTTTCAGCCTCCCAAGAGCTGGGTTTACAGCCTACGTGCCACCATGCCCAGCCTCAGTCGCCATCTCAGCACACCCCAGGGGCAGGGCCGGCATGGCACTCCAGGGAGCAAACCCTGGCTACGGCACTCAGCCTAAGCAGGTGCTTTAGTCTGTTGAGTTATCTGGCCAGGCCCTCTAGAAGCTTTAGGTGCAGCATAAAGTTATTCATTTGTGCTGGTTGCTTTTCTGGTGTGAGAATGCACTGTTATGCATGTCCCCATGAGGGCTTCTTTCATTGTGTCCCATGAGTTGTAGTAAGTTGTATCTGTATTTTTGTTTCATTGTAAATATTGTTTTATTTCTTCTTTAATTTCATCTGTAACCCAATTTTTTTGTTCAAGAGGGTGTTATGTAATTTCCATGTGTTTATGGAGTTTTGTGGGGGTTTTTTTCAAAATTTTATTGATAAACAGATAGCAATGAGACAGTTTCAAATCAAATCGGAAGTACAGTTTCAACAAATAACACACTGCATATCCCTCTTCTTAGTGGTTAATTGCTGTACAAGATGCGGACTTGAGATCCTATTTACAAACACCATTAGAACAAATCATTCTATTCATTAAGAGAATGAAACTATACATCTATCCTAACCACTTTGAATACACAGATACAAAATGGACATTCATCAGTATACCCCATTTTTTCTAAGTTCCGTTATTGAATATTATAGGTGTGTAAACTCAGCAAAATATTCTAAAAGAGTCCAGTAGCCCATAATAGCATTGGGTCTTCTGTTTAACTGGCAATGTCAGAAATTATTGACCTGAGTCCCCCACAGCTCAACATAAACAACACGGCTTTAGTTCCTATATTTCGTCTTCATACTTTTCTACTGGATGGTTAAGACCAAGGTAAAGCAGGACCTGTGCAACAAGAGTTGTAGCTTTTTGGTCTGAGAAGGTCAGTGAAATCCCCTCATGTTTATGGAGTTTTTGTAATTTCTTTTGTTAACAATTTTCAATTTAATTACACTATAGTCAGATCATATATGCATGAGATAATTTCAATTTCTTTGCATTTAGTTAAACATTCTCAATGTGCTAGCATGTGGTCTATTTTGGAGAATGTCCTGTGTACAGAAGAAAGTGTAGTCTGGTGTTGGGTGGAATGCTCTGTAAAGATCTGCAAAGTCTACTATTTCCCCAAGTTTTATTTAGTTCTGGTATTTCTCTGCTGATTTGTTTTGCAGTTGATGTATCTCTTCGTAACAATGGAAGTGTTAAAGATTCCCCCACTACAATTGTGTTAGTGCTTATTTGATTTTTCATGTCTATTAAAATTTGTTTTGCATAGTTGTATGTTCCTGTATTTGATGCATATATATTTATGATTGTTACCTCGTCCTCTTGGAGTTTTCCCCTAACAGGTATGTAGTGACCTTCTTTATCTCTTTTAATTATTCTTGATTTGAAGTTGATGTTGTCAGCAACCAGAATAGTTACCCCTGCTTTTTTCTGGGTTCCTGGCATGTGAAGTACTGTTTGCCTTCCTTTGACTTTCAGCCTGTGAATTTCCTTTTGAGTTCAACATGTTCTTTGTATAGAGCATGTTGTTGGATTTTGTCTCTTAATCCACTTGCCAGTTTCTTTTGGTTGGTGAATTGAGACCATTTACACAGATGTTTACAACTGGTGTGCATTGGCCTACTTTTGTCATGATATTTTCATGCTTTGGTTCCCTATTTTTCCTCTCTAAGTTTAATTGCTTGCCACTCTTTGTTGATTTTCTTGGAATTGTGGTCATTTTTCTCTCTTTCCAGAATATCTTTTTTTTTTTTTTTTTTTTTTTTTTTATAATGGTAATCAAACTCAGGAACTTGCACTTGACAGGCAGGAGCTCGTGCTACTGAGGTATGTCTGCAGCCCCCCTTTCAGTATTCTTTGTAGGGTTGCCTTGGTGATTATGAAAGATTTCTGCCATTACTTTTATGAATGGTATTTTATATCATGTGTAATGTCCCCTGCATTTTTATTGACTCTGATCAATCTTGTATTCTTATTTGTTTTGTCTTATAGCTGTTGGATTGATTTTTCATGGTCCCTTGTTTTTAAGAAATCTTTCTTTCCATGATCACCAACAATAATCCCATATTCTTATCTAATAATCTGCCTTCACCTTGGTGCATCTGGCTGTGTTTATTTTCAATGGAATTTTTAATCTCCTTCATATTTGTTAGAATCTGTTTCATGGATTTCATTTCTTTCCAGTGTTGGATATTCATAATTTGCATAATTTTCCTAAGATGCTTTATTGTTTTTTATCTGAATCTACTATAGATTCACTAAGGAGGTCCTTCATTTTTATCATCTTTCTTTTTCACCAGAGATTATTTCTGATCTTATTTTTCTTCATAACCTCATACATCTGTTTATTTGTTTTGTTTCATTTTTACTTCTGCTGCTACCATTTCAGAAAATTCAGGTGGGTGGCTCCTGTGTTAACCTATCTTGTCCCCTGTAGCATTCCTGCGTGGGCTGGAAGTCTAGATGTTTCTACACCTTGTCATTTTCTATTTTTTAATTTTATTTTGTTTTCTGTGTTGATGCTTATAAGTTGCTTGTGGCAGATAGTTTTACTGCTTGGATCAAAACTTCTCTAGGAAATGTTTGTGCCTCGGACCATTTTGTACGTGTAGCTGGGCCTTGGCTTTTGTGTCTGTCCCAAGATCTACCTTCCCAAATGATTAGGGATGAGACATTGATGTCTACCCAGCTCAGCAGCTAGTCCTTTCGTACTGGACTATGGGGATGATTACGAGCCCAGACAACCACAGTTAGCATACAAAGGAGAACAACTGATGACAACAGGTATGGTACCCTGGCTATTGCAGTATAGTTAGCAATAACAATAGCATCAAGCATGGCCTAGAAATTGACAAACTATGGAAACTAGTAATTTGGTACCTTAAACTGTAAGAGCAAAATCTATAGTCATATAACAAAATGCTCATAACAAAACATATAACAAAACACAGGAATATCTGTGCTGCGAGTTTCCCATTAATAGAGTGATTTGGCCTTGTAGTGGGGAATTTTAAGAGAGATGGTGGGAAGAGTAGAGAGATATATGAAGAGAACTATGGTAGAAACAAGGACAAAGAATGATCACCCAAGCTTTAGGAAACTGGAGAAAAGGACAAGAAAGATTGAATGAAGGAGAAAGCCAAAAAAGATTGACGTGAAGCAGAAAGACTAGAGACAATCCTCATTCACATAATCAAGATAGACAATCAAGGAAAGAGGGGGAAAAAAGGAACAAAACATAGCAAACAATAAAAGTGAAAAACCTAAACCACCAAAAAAAGACTGAAAAACAAGACAGAAAAGGAAAACAAAGAACAAACAACAAAATAAAAATTAAAAAAATAATAATAAATTCCTCTGGTGCCCTCTGTTCTGCACTAGTGTCCCAGTCAGAGCCCAGATCTGTGCTGGGTGGCTCCACCAAATCTGAGTAGGCTTAGTGCTGAGAGCAGGGCTGATCTTGACCTTGGGATGCGCGGGCTGGGCCAGCATTTTCAGCCAGGAACTTCTGCATGTCCCCTGGGTGGCCCATCCTTGTCTCCGTAACCATTTGTCTCTGTGCCACTCTCCCAGTTGCTGTGCTGCCCTCAGGGAGAGACCACCTAAGGTTGCTCCTAGTCCCACGTACAGATGGTCCCTCTAAGCCGTTGTACAGCCTCTGCTTTCCACTGGCCTGTCGTCTCTGTCACACTGCTAGGACCTGGACCAAAAGGGTAGTGTTGCTACACTCACTACTTTCACCAGTGCTGATGTAGTCCTTAACCTTGTTGTCACTAGAGATTTCAGTTAGCCATCATGGTATACAGTGAGGGTCAGGGGGTGGACAAACCTGGCTGTCCACTGGGGAGGGAGCAGCTCCCTGGTCACTTGCTGCTGTGGTGTTAGCAAAGCTTGCTCCAGGCCACAACATCCTCTCTTTGGAGAAAAGCAAAGAAGATGATGGACCTTATATTGCAAATCTGTCTTGTGTGGTTTGAGCTTGCCACGCTATTGCAGAGACCATCGGTGTCTTGGGAACTTTCCAGATTGGCAGCTCCTGCTCTGTGCATAGGCAGCCCTGTGGGATGCCTTGCCACTTCACAAAGTCCTATGTCTCTATTTTGAGCTACAAGTCTCTTGTTTCAGATTGATTTTGGTTGATCCCCACAACTCAATCCAGCCAAACCTGCCCTGAAGGCAAAAAAAAAAAAAAAAAATCCTTCTGCCCTTGGGGGCCTGCCCATTAGCTCAGGTGTTTAAGTGCCTATTGAAACAAAACAGTCACGTGGAGAGAAAACATTCTTTCAGGCTTTCACAGAGAGCACACTGGCCAAGCAATGGCTGTGACTCATCCACATGGCTGACACTGACAAAGGATCTACAATCTGAGGTACAGAGTCTCAAGAAAAATCCTGAAGGAATTTGACTAACCTTATTAGATCCAACAGCTACAATTCTTGTTACATAGGTCTTTATCTTGGTCTTAACCATCCAGCAGAAAAGTATAAAAACAAAGTATAAGAAATAAAGCCATGTTGTTACGTTGAGCTGTAGGGGACTCAGGTCAACAACTTCTGACACTGCCAGTCAAATGGAAGACCCAATACTATTATGAACTACTGGACTATTTTGCAATATTTTTCTGAGTTCACACACCTATAATATTTAAATGATGGAACCAAACAAAAAAAGGGGATACAGATGAACAACCATTTTGTATCTGTGTATTCAAAATGGTTAGGATAGATATATAACTACATTCTCTTAATTCAATGAGTAGAAGGATTTGTTCTAATAGTGTTTGTAAATAGGATCTCATGTTTGCATCTTGTACAGCAATTAACCACTAGGAAGACAGTATGCAATGTGTTAATTATTGGAACTATTCTACCAATTTGACTTGAAACTGTCTCATTGCTATTTATTTCTCAATAAAATTATGGGTGGGAAAGAAGGCTCTGGATTATAAACTATTGCCTGATTGCAAAAGAACAAATGAAACAAAACAGTCAGGCTCAGGATGCTGTGGTTCAATCCCCTCATCCTCAAGCAAACCAGACCTGCCCTGAAGACATCCTGAGCGGGCCCCCCAAAAAAACAACTCCTTCAGATTGACTTTGGCATCAGGATGTGTGTCCTTGCTTGACTTCCAATTACCTGTGTTTTTAGGTGACATTTTCTGAGTAACTCCAGTGTCCCCTCCTCTATTCAGCTGTGCTGAGTTGCCTCTGAATATCCATTTTCTCAGGAAAGTCTTTCCAAGCTTCCCTGATTCCAATGTGGCAGATATGTGTCAAACTCTAAGAGTTTGAATGTGCAAGGTAAGTTATTTTACTTCATTTTCTTTAAGTTTTAAGTAAATTTGACCTTGAGATAGTGGCTTCTTATGCTGCTGAAAAATATCTACCCTTTAATTTGTTCTTTGGGGTTCAAGAAATTGGTAGAAAGATGATACAGATGTGTTGCTTAGATTGGTATAAAATCTGCTACATCTGTCAGGGAGGTGGGACGTTGTGGTCGCTTTGGTGACCTTACTATTCAAGCTCACATGTTCACTGCAAGGCAAGTGATTTCCAGCCCTCTGGGCCAGACTCGGGCTTGGGAATCAGGAAATAGGAGTCCCTGCTACTTTCTAAAATAGCTGCTATGGTCTTATTTATGGTCCTACTACTGGAGATATGTATGGACCTCTGTCCCAGTCTTAGTTTCAAGGTATCTTTTCTCTTAGTAGTATTCTTCTCACAGTCCTTCCCCCATCAAAAAATTCTGAGTGAGTTCAGCCTTAGAGAAAGACACACACACACACACACACACACAGAGCAGGGGGAAGAGAGAGAGAGAGAACTTGTCTCAGAGGTATTCTGGACTTGGCCTCACACGCAAACAACCATTTGGGACAAAACAAAACAAAACAAGCAAATGCCCACCTTCTGAAAGAGGGGCTGAGAGTAGAAGACAACAAAAACAATGTAGCAGTTTATATATAAAAACATTATCCAGTCAAAAGCTTCCATCCCTTGCTAGTTCTTTCTTTCCTTTTTTTAAATTTATATATTTGGTGCAGGGTTTCACCCCACATCTCCGACCCATAGTGATCCACCTGCTTGTAGCCTCCCCAGCGCTGGGATTACAAACTCCAGCCACCAGGCCTAGACTCAGTGGCCAGCTCAGTATGCCCTGGCACAGGGCCGATGTAGCATGTGGTGCCAAGGATCAAACCCTGCTAGTTCATTTTAAAGTACACATTCCTTGGCTGGCCATATAGCTCAGAGGATTAAAGCTCTTGCATAGGCAGATGCAGGGGATTGGAGTTCTTCTTTGCAAAAAGTAAAAAATACTATTTCAGAAAATTAAGTTTAAAGTACGATACAGAATTTTATTTATTTATTTATTTATTTATTTATTTATTTATTTATTTATTGAAACTGAGGATTGAACTCAGGCCCTTGCACTTGCCAGGCAAGCACTTATTCTACTGAGCTATCGCCCCAGCCCCCAGAATTTATTCTTTTTAGCACTAGTAAAGCTAAAAATGCAAAAACAAAAATCTAGCAAAGATAACTTCTAAAGCGCCTGCTCATGCAGAGCATGGTGACTGGGGTTCAATCCTGGTTGTGCCAAGCCAGCCCCACACCCAGGGCATGTTGAGATGCTAATTGAGACTGGGCATGGTGGTGCATACCTGCAATCCCAGCTCTTGGGATGCTGAAAACAGGAGTATCACTATGAGTCTGATCTGTCTAGTGAGATGCTGTCGACCCTATACTAAATACATTAAAAAATAAATAAAGTACACATTCCTGACTTTTATACCACCTACCGCAATTTTCACTGTAGGCCTATTTTATGAGTCAGACTTGTAGCCTCCATCATGTGACTTCCACGACAGCACACATGACTGGCTTTAAAAGTTAACATTATGTCAGGAAATAATAAACATCCATAAGCTTCTGTTTACATAAAAGTGAACCATTGACTGAGTAAAAAGTACTTTTTGAACTCCTCAGTAGAATAACCAATCGGAATGTTTTTCCTTTCTTTACTTGTCTCCCATATAATCTGGTTCCTGTGAAAATCAAAGATGCACACCTGCAGAAACAAGATGTAGAAATGCCAGTAAGGACTATGACAGTGAATTCCGTGTAGAAGGGTAATACCCATGCCAGAATGGAGCCACAGAGATTGTACTAGGCGGGCAGTGTCCGCATTCCTGTGCATTCTAATTTGAAGGAACTGCTATGAAATCAGTAAGAAGAAAATATCTTAATTAAGGTCAGAATGATTTATTTTATTAGAGACAAAAATACTAACTTTGTGAAATAAGCCAGACACAAAAGATTAAATATCACATGGTTTCTCTTATGTGACTGTCTCAGTTACTCTTCTCTCGTTGCTGGGACAAATACCCAACAGTCAAAGTGAAGGAAGGAAAGGTTTATTCAGCTCACAGTCAGTGGAGGTTTCAGTCCACACTCAGCTGGCTCCAAGGCAGAGCGGCACAGGGCAGAAGGCAGCTTTTCATGGCAGCGGCAAAGAGCAGAGAGCAAAATGAGAAGTGGCAGCAACAATGACTACAGAGAGGAAGTCTGTCTCCCTTAAGCTGCTTTCAGGCTGTCCGTCCCAGGCTGGGTGTAGTACTCACACCCACAATCCCAGCAGCATTCACACCCATAATCCCAGTGGATCATGAGGCAATCACAAACTCTAAAAGTCCCCATCCTATGACTGCATGAGGCTTTGGGGGATACCTACACACAAACCACAACAATGAGAAAAATTTTTTAAAAAGATGCACGTGTGTGTGTGTGTGTGTGTGTGTGTGTGCGTGATAAATAAATACAAAGTAGGGAGAGTTTGAATAATTTCCTAAATTGCCTGTTCTTCTGTAACAAATAATATTTTAATATATATGCTAATTCACTTCATCTGTACTATTAGTTTCTCCTGGTTCATTTTATGCTATTATATGTTTCTTCTTTTTGAGAATCATTTTGATTCTGAGTAACCACTTTGAAGATAATAACACACATTACATTGACTATTATTATTCTCTTACTATTTTGTTATAAATTTTGTTTTATTTTTCATAAAATAAAAAA